ATAATATAACCAGTGCTGCTAGTGCTGCGTATTTTCTTAAGTTTGTATAATAATTGTATTATTATGTAAGCTTTTATAAAATAAAAAAATAAAAAAAAAAAAATAAATTGAAATGTGAACTTATTTCAATGTTTAGAGTGTACATTTAAATATACAGAGCGAAAAACGTGAATAAATTTAGAGAAATACCAAGTGTTATTAGTGCAAATGGCTGGGATTTGAAGCGTCGCGCGGAAAAAAAATAACCGTTCTTATTGTGCAAATGCAGAGAATTGAACTAAAATAAAATAATTAAAATAAAGCTTTATTTACAACAAATATTAAAAAAAAATTAATATACAGAAACCTTATAGTGAAGTGTTAGTAAATGAAAAGTGCATAATAAAAGTGAAAAGTAAAAATTATCAATGTAAAAGTTTTAAATTTTTCAACTTTAAATGCAAATATCTTTAAAACTATCAGTCAGCGGCAATTATATATATATATTTTCGTGATCTGGAGAACGTCACCTTTCCAGTGATACCCATTTTATACCCGAAACCGGGAATGCTATTCTGAATTTTAACCGTGCAAATTTTTGAACTTTTAATTTAAAAAATATAAGTTGTTTTTATATTAATTTTCGATATTCCACCTCTGGAGAAGCTCCCCTATCCTCACATACCCCACTTATACGGAAATTCGGATTAACCCCTCCACCAAAATAATCGGAATCGTGCCAAGTGACAGCTCATAGCTTACGATATATGGCAAACTAGATAGTATTCTATACATCGTAAGCTATGAGCAATGTGGAGTCTCCACAGGCAATCGGCACGGCCATTCAGTTAATATTCTATAAATTCTATCCTGTCGAGATGCACCGTTAACAAAACTTTGCCATTAGAACATTCTGGCTATTACGAATTTAATATATCAAAAAATATAAAAAAGAATAATTCGCAAAAGCAGCAAACAGATTTTGGCGGAAAAACAAAATTCGAAACAGTGTAGAATTTTGCTTTTTTACATGGTTGTGCTTATAGCACCTGTAACTCAATCTTTATTGGCGTAAGTAAACATAGTATAAAGAGGGAGGTAGATATTTATTGGCTGTGGAGACGCGGAATAATATATCTAGTAATAGCTCAGGACTCTTAAAAAGTGGCGCCAATATAACTAAACCCGTAAATTTATTAATAATAAAATGGATATATCTGGTATGTCTTATTTGTGTTTTTATTTGTATATCGTTTATATGCCGCTGTTTTTATGATATAGTTAGTTCATCAACAACTCAAAATGGTGCAAGCGGAGGTGGCGTTGCGGCTGAAGTAATATAGAAATTATTTAAATAGTTTCAACGTTTATTTGTTTATATATGTTTTAGGGTATAGCTCCTGTTTTTATTAAACAAATCTTATATTCGCCTGAGGGGAATTTCAGCTTGTATGGGATAACTTTTGGAATGGTATCTTGTGTATGCATAGTACGTTCGATTGATGTGTCTTCTACAAAAATTACATATTCCTTGGAGGACCACTCGGGTCAGATAGAAGCACATTACTGGCTAGAAGAAGGTGACTCAACCAAAGCTCCTGACATTATGCTCAATCATTATGTCAAGCTGTTTGGTAGTATAAGGACACAAGGCTCACAGAAAATGTTAATGGTTTTTAAAATGATTGCAATAATGAATTCTAACGAAGTTTGTACTCATGTATTGGAAGTACTGAATGCTAGGTATAAATCTGAAGAATTTGCTAGTAAAGGAAGTGACACCTACTCTACAAATGTTGATTCGATGAACTTTAACTCCAAGACTAGTGGAGATGATTCTCTTGGTTTGGAAGGAAAACAGCTGGCAGTTTTACAAGCCGTTAAGAACAATATAAGTACGGAAGGTATCAGCCGCAAAGAATTGCAACAAAAATTCAATCATATCAGTGGAAATGAACTAAAGTAAGTTTTCGATCAGTGGTATATTTAATGATGTTAATTATGCATTTTTCAGCTCCCTTATCGAGTTTTTGATATCAGAAGGTCATATATATTCCAGTTTCGATGCAGACCATTTTGTTAGTTCGGAGTAACTTTGTAAATACTTAAAATTTAATAATATTTAATAAATTTATAAATATTCTTTAATTTAAAATAGTGTGGGATAGTACTATTACGATGAACCAAAGAAATTGGTTAGGGTGCGTGAAAAGGAACCCTAAAGCCGAGCCAAACACTGAATTTCGCTCGTATTTATAGTACTATTATACTGTTTCGTTCTGTTTCTTAGACTTAACAGTTCCTTTTAACTTCAATGAATTTAGTTCGAATATAAGTTCTGATGGATTAGGGAATTCCAGCTATAAGTTTTCCTTTAAAAATATTAAAAGTGGGTATTCTGAATATTATTCTACCAATTCCTTGTAAGAAAAATATGAAACTTGGCTTTTGTTTGATCATTATGGAAGTTGTTAGGGAAAATTTTAATACGAAGAGGAAAAAAATAACTTTTTTTTAAATTCCGAATTATATTATATTAATGGAATTTGTAAAAATCTACAGAAAAGCGTAAACAAATATTGAGGTTGTTTACGATTTGGAAGTATTAAAATAATCTACTATTCTACTGCGTTTGAGAAATACCATCTCAAGTATAAAACATGTCAAAATCTGTTACCGAAAAAGGGGACCTCTTCTCAGATATATTATTGCAAAATTCGGCGGAAATCAATAACAACAATCAGTTAAATTATACGTGAAATAATTACATTTGACAAGGWTCTTTGTTCATTGATTACGAAATAAAACGAATTTTAGTATACAAAAAAAAAAAAATAAAATAATGTAAAAACTTGCATTATTTAATATTATAGTATTCTTTATGAAGTTTGAAAATTGATGTGTAACCTAAATACCAACTAGCAAGCAGGCAAAAAATAGACACTCAACAGGGAACACGGTTAATATCATCTGCCTAGTTTTATAGGAATAAAAGGAAACGAAAAGGCTACCCTGGACCATTCCGTGCCTTCAAGACTTGGTACTCTAGCCACACCGGGGTCATCGCAGGGCATCCACCCTTAAAATTCCAGCTTCAGAAAATTAAAAGTGTAACCGGCGAAATGTAGAGCATGTGCGAAGGATGATGAAACGATAAAATATTATTGCGAATGTCCAGCTTTTTGCCGGCTGAGAAGGGTTATCTTCCTTCCACAGCTACCAATCCAAATTCGTCCATAAAGTGGATGGGCTCAGCTATAATTGTTTAGCCCCATGGCGGATGGACCCACACGGGTCTTCTTCGATACTCTGCCCAACAACAGCCAGATGCAAATTTCCATAGTTGCTCGATTTTCCAACTTAGCTGGGCGATAATGTCGACCGAATAGTGTATGCAGCGCGATACGTCGCGCAAACTGAAACATTATTTCTCGAATAACTGTCCATTATCAGATATACTGATGGTATCGACTATCACTCACATCCGTTCCCACGACAGTTGGGTCTACGAAAACCGGAACGGACTCGGATTTTTATCCGGCCAAGGACTGTCAACTCGGCAGAATTCTGCCGTTACAACAACAACAACAACTATCACTCACATAATACTCAATTGTTATTGATGTTTTGTTGTTATTGTAACGGCAGAATTCTGCCGAGTTGACAGTCCTTGGCCGGATAAAAATCAGAGTCCTTTCCAGTTTTCGTAGACCCGACTGTCGTGGGAACGGTTGATGTTTTCTTAACCGTTGTTACCAATAAAAGTTACAGTAAAGTAGCAAATTTGAAAACACCTAACTTTTCAGTGTTAACCTTGTAATAGTACTTACTCAAGAAATCTTTGCAAAGAGTGGTACCTGAACACATTAAGTCTTTCGCCAAATTCCCAAAATGAAGCTTTCGATCGTTTTATATGCCGTACATCGTGCTGTTATTTGATTTGAGTCTCAAACTGGGATTTGAACTTGAAATTCTTGTTTACTCTTTTTCATACAAGAATATGCCGAACACTTATGTATATTCCTTATTTTATTCTTATCAGTTGAATTCACTTCCCGCAGTGCTCATTAAAATAACTACCACAATATTTCATTTATAGAAGCTTTATTCTTATGAAAATATAAACGTAATGTTCTATCACTTTGTTTATCATTATTTTGGATGTACAGGTACAAAGTAATTACACTTTGTATTTTCAAATACAATCATTCGTAAAAACAAAATGACAAAATATACATTTAATTACTTCGTTTTCAGGGAAGAGTTGTTGTAGTAATGATAAGTCTTCCAGTACGTAATACTGACATCGAGGGCAATAACGAGAAGATATGATAGGCAGCTGGAAAAAAAGCATTTTTAAATGATTTATTACTTAACAGTATCATAGTACCATAGCTATGTTCGAATTAAACTAGGTTAAGTTTAACGTGTAATTTTTTAATGCAATCAAATAATTCACTTCAGCAAAGAAAAATGCTTTCCCAAAAGTTATTTAAGAATTTTGGAATAAAAATATGCTGTAATAAACTAAATAATTATTTTGAACCAGGAGTACTCAACTTTAATATAAAGATTAATTCTATTATTGTAACACGGTGACTCACTTAAAACTATTGGGACAAAAATCTGTTTTCATTCATTCATTGCCGGATGACATTGTCTCACATTTAAATTTAAATTTTTTGGTCACTCTTTTAAAAACACACTTAAATTTTGAATAAAATTATTAATTGTTCTCAATTAGTTGACACAGTTGTAATTTTGAAGAAATAACATATTTTCATTTAAACTGTGAACAATAAGTTAATGCCAATCAGATACCAGATTTGTTCATATTTTAACTAACTAAAGAAAGTTTTATGTCTGACCACGACTAGGACCAACAAGTTTTAAACGTTTTGTGGACAGAATCAGCAACATTTTTAAGGTGAATGAAATCGAACCGAAATATTATTCTAGCAAAGAAATATAGCCAATCCAAGTTAGAAATTAACTAAAACTAATATTTAAGTGCTCATTAAACCACTACGAATAAAATAGTTTCTCAATTTACCTGTGTGTATGATATATAACACCGTTTTACATTATGAATTTGGTCACACATCATAGTATCGGGGTTATTTATGTTCTTGCAATATAAACACTTTTCTTTCCAGGCAATATGTGTTTTACAGTTCTTAGTATTCATATCAAATTCTTTAGTTAAAAAATTCAAAAATCGTTCTTTTGTTTGCTCTACAAAATTTTGCCGCAATAACAGCTTTTTGAATTTTCTAATCAAAATAATATATATCTTTAAAAAAACATTAATGGTTTCGTTTTGAAATTCACTCAAAGTTGAAGATTTTAATGAAAATAAATACTTAAGCCGACATATTACGTGAGTTATTTGAATACTAAGTGCCAGAAATTTTAGTGAAAATGCAGTGGTTTCCTGGTTTTTTCTCGCCATGAACCTAAAACGAGGAAATTCATAGAGTTTTAACATTTTTTAATTTAATGTCGTAAATATAATAATAATACAAGCCAAGCAGGGCTTTAATAAAGCAAGTGTATATTGTACAGAGAAATATTAATAGAAAAAATTAAATATTAATAATTTATAAACACTAAGTAACAAGCAATATTTTTACCTATTAGAAAAATATTATATAACATTTGAATTGATTGATAGTATTGTCGCTAGCACATAAATATGACGTACAGCGAAAATTGCTAATTTAATAATACTTTTTGTTTTTTTTTAACTAATTTTTTTTTTTTTTATACGTAGATATACATATGTACATATATTACGCGGCTCTGTTGGTATAGAGTGAGTATTTCGAATGATTGTAGGTGACTCGAGCAAGAACTCTGGGAATAGAAGGGCGAATTTACAGACTTCCAGGAGATTAATTGTTTAGGACACTTGTAGCAACAAGAAATAGTTATTACAAGTTTTTTTTTTGTACCTAAAAAATTCGTATGTAAGAGAATAGTGATATTGTACAAAAAAAAAATATGGTTTTTTAAATTTATAATAAGGGAGTTGTGCGTAATTGTAATCTTAGTGATCTTTAATTAACAAATCTGACCGAACATAAAGGATTTGGAAAATCATAATGGTGAAATTTAAACAGTTAACTAAGTATTCAAATATAATTTTGAATAATATATAATAATAGTCAACAAATAAGGAAAAGCTAAGAAAAAAGGTTGCCAGAGAAATACCATCGGGTGTTTTATTTATGTTGCGAAAGCATGCAGCTTTTATTATTCGATGAAATTTTGAAAGGGATATATATATACTTGTATCTTATTACCTTATATTGAAGGTCATTGACTCTTTTAGTTTAATTATGTTACTTCGCGTCAGCAAAAACTATATGAAAATTATCTTCAAATGACATTTATGCGATATACATTTAACCGAAGAGGTTAAATTTAATAATTGAGTTGATGTGGAAAATGTCAACCAAAAGATCGGCATTCACTATATTAGGAATATGAGGTTTAGACTAAGCTCTAAAACTAATTACATTCATATTAAGGGTTAAATAAAATAATTTTTAAGAAATCTAGTCATCTAACAACTATTAAGTCTAAACGCAAATGTTGATAATAAAAAAGATATTTTAAGTGGAAATACTTTTGGAGTCTTATATATACACTTAAAGTGCAAAACTAATACATAATATATTTGACATACAAGTAAATTACTTAGTATATTGCCAATTTATAACTTTATAACCAACGTTTTAACATTTTTCAAGGAAAATAACACAAACATGTGGCAGTAAACCATTTTGAACCCAGTTCGATATCAATTACATATATAATCGTAAGCTTTAGTCTTATATTTAAGCGCACTCATCCAAATAAAAGACTTTACTGATATACATATCTCACCTTTGATAACTTAGGAAATTCGAAACAAATACAAATTTTGTTTGAAGTTGATGTAAAAAGATCTCATCCAAAACGGCAGGTAACTGAGTATTTGTGATATCCGAAATAGGGCAGTAATTGTCATATTCCATATTATTAAATATATCCATTCCCAAGATAGTTGCATTATCGGTACATGGATTAATTACATGTTTGCTAGGCATTGCTAATGGCTTTAGGTCGCCGAGTCGTTGCAATTTAACAATATTTATAAATATACTATTA